TAACGATTTTAAAAAGGAGAAACGAAACTTGTGTTAAGAGACTTGACTAATTTAGTTAAGGATGAATGTAACGGTTGAAATTTAATTTATTATTATTATTATTATTTTTAAAAATGTAAACGAGTAAGGTAACGATACGTGATAAGAAAGTATGATTTATTTAAAAATGATAAGGAATAAGTTTGATAATTCGGTACGTAATAATTTCGGTACGAAAATTCAAGTTCAATGTTGTACGATTTCCTGTAAGTCAGGTATATGAAACAACCTTGTCTTATCTTGACTAGTTTGTGAGGAATAATTACGTGTACACGGCGAAAACCGGTTATGCCGTATACTGAAAGCCCGAAGGAAAAATAAACAAAGAAAAAAAAAAAAAAATACTGGAAGAATCGCATTTTTCTCTGCCTGTGTGTCACGTGTACGATACGCCGCATCAAAGAATCGGGTATGTTCGAGTGAAATAATTTTTATTTAAACCAGAGTGCAAGCAGAAAGAGGATCGCCAAGATTTACGAAGAAATAATCGTAATAATAATTTCCAGTTAATTTTTTATTTAATTAACACGAGCATTAAACACCATCCAAGGACAGCAAACGTATGAATACTTGATCTAATTCAATATTCTCAACGTTCTCTGCGATTGTTCAACTCGATCAAAAATTGATTAGAAGAAAACTCGAGAAAAAAGAAAAATAAAGTTATTTCTAGTAACTTTTTAAAACTTATCCAAAAAACAATGCAGGACATCAATCAATCATCTGTAATCGAGTCACGTGTATTTTTAATAAGAAGCAAATTGAAAGATTGTCGATCAATTTTCACATTTCGAGAGAGAAGAATTAACTTCCTCTACGTTACGATACAGAAAAAGGAAGACTAAAAAAATTGTCAAATGAGGAGAATTATTAAGAGACGTATCGAATGGGGGGGGAAAAAATGAAATGACGTTACGTCGATTAATTCTTAAGAATTTCATACGAGATACACACGGCGAACGAGATACCAGTCCGCCCACCGTTTGTTTGATAGTTACGAAGTGAGATAGAAGAAGAGAGAGAAAGAGAGAGAATAGGAAAAAAGAAAAGAAAAGAAGAAGAAGGAAGAACGATGATGTACTGGGCTCGGAGCCTATTGATTCGTCTCATCTCTCTTAATGCATTATTCAATATATCGATGCGAAGTTACGGATAGGTGAATTCGAAAATACGGATATTGTAATAACCACGTTTGCGTAATTAACGATGACGACACGATTTATAGCCCTGTTTATGTTGACGTGAAATCGCGCTGATTTGTTTGGATTGAACGGGCTGAATTGTTATGATAACAAATTATTTGAAATGGTGATTGATCGATCGTTTTTAACTATTTGATAATTCCATTTTGTGTCAACAAGGTTTTCAGGGAATTCGCTTTGGAGAAAAAGTGAAATTGTTAATTGATATTATCATAGTATATAGAATTAAGCTGATATTGAATTGTTTATCATCAGAAAGATTTCTTCTTTCTTTTTTTTTTCTGGAAAAGAAGAAATGAAATTTTTCGACAAATCTTGAATTTCGATCGAAACCCTTCCTTTTCAAAGAAAAGAAGAATTTTTATAATAAATTTAATAATTTTGTTTTTTCTCTCTCTCTCTCTTTTTTTTGAAGAATTAAACTGCTAATGAATTGTTTATCATCAGAAAGATTTCTTCTTTCTTTCTTTTTTTTTTCTGGAAATCAAATTTTTCGACAAATCTTGAATTTCGATCGAAAACCTTTCTTTCCAAAAAAAAAAAGAATTTTTATAATAAATTTAACAATTTCGTTTTTTTCTCTCTCTCTCTCTTTTTTTTGGAGCATAGAATCATAAATATTTTATACACGGAGAAACTTAAATTTCCCCAAAGAATTATTACCCCGAGAAAACCTTTTTAATAATCCCTCGTAAAACATTGTAACTACATCCTCATTTACCTAATAATTCATCTACATTTTTAATTCGAGATGGAGTGCGTACACGGAGTGCAAGAACGAAGAAGAGAAACAAAGAGAGAGAGAGAAAATTCCATCTCGCTATTACGAGGATGGAAGAGAGGAAGAGGTCCACGCGAATTACATAATCGATTGGCTGCAGATGTCGATTACGAAGCGAGCAACGATTATATCTCACAGATGATTAAACGTAAACGACAATAGATGCATTGCGATGACACACATCCTCGATCGAGTATCGCGTAGAGTTATCGTTATCGGGCCTCGCTTTTTTTCTCCTTTTATCTCGATTTCGAGACGAAAAAAACAACGAATTCGAGTAATAAGCAAACCTCCTCCGAGTTAACAACTTCCTTCGAGACACGTGGGAAGAGGAATAAAATAAATTTCGGCGATCCCCGTGGCACAATGCACAATGTTACGAAAATATTTGTGAAAATATTTCAAAAGGTTTACACGATGATTGTAACGGATTGGTAATGCTCGTTATCTCTATAATATTGTCGAAAATAATGATTCTGGGAACTCGTACGGATCCCGTTAAAAACTAAGTAACGCAGTTATTTGGTAACGAGGCGCGTTAATTGGAACGCGTTTGTAATAGAAAGGATCGTTGTTCGCGTAGATTCTCGAATATGCGAATTATCTTGGCAATTTTCCAATTTACTTGTGAATTTGTTAATTAATCAGACAGATTCGAGATGATAAATTCTCTCTAAATCTGCTCTCGTCTCCGATCCTTGGATGATTTGTTGAAAATATCTATTACGTTGATCGTCGTTAAAAATTTATCCTTCAAATTGGAAAGATCAATTTGACGAGTATGTTTCTCAGTCATCATTGTTCTAACTTCAACGAACAATTCTTCGTTAAATCGCAAGGAGGATCCTTAAAACCTAATCTAATCGAAGAAAAAAATAGAAAAATCGGTAAAAGACAAGAGAGCAGTAGAAATTCGTGATTTCCAAATGGAAAATTTAAATTTTATCAGTAATACTTGATCTACTATTCGTTCTAACTTCAACGAACAATTCTTCGCTCGTTAAATCGCAAGGAGGATCCTTAAAATCTAATCTAATCGAAGAAAAAAATAGAAAAATCGGTAAAAGACAAGAGAGCAGTAGAAATTCGTGATTTCCAAATGAGAAATTTAAATTTTATCAGTAATACCTGATCTACTATTCGTTCTAACTTCAACGAACAATTCTTCGTTAAATCGCAAGGAGGATCCTTAAAATCGAAAAAGAAATAACAAAATCGGTAAAAGAGAGCAGCGTGAAAATTTGTGATTTCCGAATGGGAAAATATTTTCCCTGAATCGAAACGGAAAATCGTGTCATTGAGTGGATCAATGTTCATCGAACCGTTCGTCAGAAATTCTCACTTGATCGCTCTGTTCGTATCTCACGAATTGTATAAAACAATGGAAGAGAAGGGGGAGCACGAGCTAAACGATTCGCAAACAATTCACAACTTTCGCGAACTCGTTTTAAAAAAAGATTTCGGTTTCGATTTCTCCGTGACATTACGAGCTGATAATTTGGTAGATGGCGCGTGTATCGTGCTCGTGTACCACGCGAAATAATCCTAAATACGGGCATTGAATTGCAGCGATTTACATCAACGATATATGCGTTTTCGTTCGATCGTGCTCGATTAATAAATCGTCGAGTGGAAATCAGGCGCGGTGACTGATTTCACAGGGGCGAGATTAAATGTTGGGATTGTATGGATTAAAGGTTTCGA